AAGTTCTGCAGAAGCCCGGGCCTGATGTACTGATGTATAGTGGCAGCTGCTTCTCCATCTGCATCCTGGCGTGTGGCTTCTCAGGCCACCGTGTCATGTCCCCTCCCCGCCCCCCCAGGCTCTCACTCATCCTTCCCACCTGTTCCACACTCTGTGCTGGACACCTGCATTTCTCACTTCCTCCTGGACATTCCACCTGTCTTTCCTTCAATCAAAACCTCCCCGTGATAGCCTGCCATCTCATCTCTTGAAGAAAACCATATTCTCCATGGAGCTCACAGGGTCCCATGTGACCCCGCCCCCTCCTGCTTCTTCCCTTTTGCTTACTGCACTGCAGCCATACTTACCTCCTGGGTACATTCCTGGTGGGTGTCCACCCCAGGGCCTTTGCACTTGCCATTTCCTGTGCCTGGAATCATCTTTCCCCAGCTAGCTGCTGAGCTCATTCCAACTGTTCCTTTGTGTCTCTGCTCACATGTTGTCTCCTCTCATGGCTCTGCTCATGGACAGAGCAGGAAGCAGCTCTGTCTACGAGGGCACTGCAGCTTGACCAACGGGTTCAGGCTCCTCCATCTTGTCCCAAGGGCCTGGTTTGGCCTGGGTTTCCTCAAGGAACAGGTGTCCTCATCAAACTCCCAGCTGCCTTTCCAGGCAAGGAGTCCAAGACTCCGCAGCTGGCCTTCTGCCTGTTCCAAAGAGGAAGTGTCCGTCCCTGGGCAGGAACTGGCTTGGCCCTCAGGGAAAGCCCGGGGGACACATACCACTTTCTCTGCTGCAGCTTCCAACGAGCAGGGGCCTGGCTCCCGGTCGTCTTCGGCCACCCTGGTCTCCATGCTGCCCCAGCCACTGGGCAGGGAGAGAGTGGGCTGGGAAGCCCCCTCAGACCTCGGTTCCAGAGCCTGGTGGCCTGGTCCCTCCGGCCGCCTCGCAGCCTGGCTGGGTGAAGGTGGAGCTCAGGTGCCGGCTCACCTGGCTGAAGCTCCATCCTCCCCTGGCCTCTCCCCATTCGCACAGGTGAGCCGACAGAGGCTCTGCGAGGGAGAGTGGGCCTGGGCGAGCCTGGGTCCGGGCAAAGCCAGGCAGTGAATCTAGATCTTCTGATGCCAAATCCCTTTCCCTCCTCCCATCCAGGTCCTTCCCACCCCAGTGCCAACTGCCTGGAACACGGAGCTGGTTTCTGCCTGAATTCCACCCTGAGAGCCTCCTCTCTGACATTCCTTCTCCAGCAAAGAGAGCAACAGGGACCCCATGGAACAGATGAAAAGACTGAGGGCCAGAGAGGAACCGTGGCCCCAGACCTCAGCCTGAGACATGAGGGGCCTCGGGAGAGAACGTTCACCCGGGTTCCATCTCCTGGCAGTTCTTCTCCCCGGATTCCAGCCAACGGTCAGCCTTCCAGAATGGACTTAGGATTTAGGCAGGAGTTGGGGTCAAGAGTCTCCAGGAAGGTCTCAAACCAAGGTGATTACCAGGGGGGACTGGGAGAGCCGGGGGTCTCAGGGGATGCTGCGCCCACCCTGCATGACTGGGGAGCAGGGGAGGCCTCCCCAGCAGGCCTCATGGGGGCCCCAGAAGCCAGGCCTGGGTGCCACAGCCTCTGCCTTTGCCAGAGGCTCCAATAAGCTGGGTGCTGCGGAGACAGAGGCCCTGGTGGGAGGCAGGCACGCCTCCATTCCTCCAGCGGACGTTTACTGAGCACCTACCATGGGCCAGGGCCCTGCCCAGCGCTGGAAATGAGATAGTCACAGTTCCTGTCCCCAGAGCGTTCTCGGGGGGAACTGTCCTGGCTGTTAAGGGTTGTCAGGAAGCGAGAGGGAGGGCCACAGGAAAACCCCAGGGGAAGGAGCGGCCAGCTCCGAGACCCCTGGCAAGTTCAAGGACAGGGGGCAGCCAGGAGGCTAGGACAGACGGGTGGG